AGTCGTCGTCTCAGTGGTGGTGGCAGTGGTACTGTAGTCGTCTTAGTAGTTAGTAGTAGTAGCAGTAGTAGTAGTAGTAGTAGTAGTAGTAGTAATAGTAGTAGTAGTAGTAGTAGTAGTAGTAGTGTTAGTGGTAGTGGCAGTGGCAGTGGCAGTGGCAGTGGCAGTGGCAGTGGTAGTAGTAGTAGTAGTAGTAGCAGCAGCAGCAGTAGCCGTAGCAGTACCAGTAGCAGCAGCAGCAGCAGCAGCAGCAGTCGTAGCAGTGTGGTGTTGTTGCTGATTCTTGTGCGAGGTCCACAGCAGCTGCGGCTTTTGCCGAAAGATCTGCTGCCGCCGGCTGAAAGGCCATACGGGGCCTCACTTTTCAAGTTTAAACCATGGCAGAAGCCCTTAGAAAGCCTTCTCATACTTGATCAGTTCTGAAGCCTTCCATTCTCGGATTCCGGGAAACTGCAACTGCTCTAACTCTATGGAACTCTTGACTCTCGTATCTCCGGGACCTCTTGCACCAGGGCTGTAAAAGTGCGAAATGTGGGTGCAATGATCGTTGGAAACTTTTGCGGGCTGTATGGTTCAGGGACCATACTTCCGATCAAGCCGTCTACATTATAGGGAAAGGGCAATGGCCTACAGTTTGATGCCAAGTGGGCCGGGGAGGGGCAGGGGGGTTGATTGAAATATTGAAAGCGGAATCTTAAAGTGCCGAATCCCAATTCGATGAGGAGTAGAGTCGGATACGAATGACACGCTGCTTAGTGGTTTGCTCCGGTTTGAGTGTTGATTTCCGGGATATCGCCAACGTGTAACATGTCTTGACTCGGTCTCCCCAATTGCTTGTTGTCATAAAGGGGTCCTCGTACATGGCAAGGCAACAAATCTATGCTTGTAGCCGGGCTTAAAGTTCAAGCGGCTGCCACAAGCGTTTATACTTGCTGAGCTTCCGACAGCAAGAAGCCAGCACAGTCGCCGCATCAGGCAGTGCCGCGAAAGCCTCTGACGAGCAGAATCCAATGCTCAGGAAACTTGCAGTGGCAACTCGTTGGAATTCACTTCTGTGGGAGGTTGTGAGTTTTGCTGGCTTCGAAGAGCTAGCATCCAAGTAGCATTGCTTCTTTGCTGTCTCAAGATAGTCAAGGTCTTCAGGTCCTTGAATTTCCTGTGATGACAGATGTTTTAAGGCTTCGGTCACAGGATAAGGCACTTAGGGTTCCTTTGCTCCCACCAGACTAGCAGCCTGAAAATCCTCCCCACACCAGGGCCACCTCACGTGAAAGACCTTGACTGGCTGACGATCATATCAACACGTTTGTGATTGCAAATCTGGACCCGTGGGATGAAGCTGGGAGGAAAGGCAGAAGCCCGAATTTCCTAAGCCCTGCGTTCGGCCTCCGGACTTCTAATGTGACGCATGACAATCGCCGGAATATGAGACATAAATGTTTGATATGGCTTCAGAGGCACACAATTCAGTGGGCCGGCACAGAAGTAATGGCGATGAAATTCACGTAATAAGCACCTTGAGCCTCCAAGTCACACCGCCTCACGCCCAGGAAACGCAGCAACTGATCGCGAGCTATGCGTGCGCGACCGGCATCGTGCTAATAGGTTCGTTCTACCTGTGGTCGCAACTTGACTTTGAAGCACAGCGGCTCAAGTAGGCTTCGATTTCAGGGTCGGTGTGATCCTCCTACATGTTACCAGTTTGCCACAAACTGGTATTGTTTGCGGAAGTAGAACACAGCACAGAAGAAGCCTTAGCACTGGCGCCAGAAGCCGTGAAACCCGAAGCTCTGGAACTTTGACTCTGAGACGAGACCTTCCAACCTTCAACTCTGAGGACGACTGTCTCCTCCAGAAGTGCTTTCCAATTCGGTGCGCTTCCTTTCGTGTGGAGACATTACCACATCATCCTCCTTACGCTTGAGGCGCGTCCGAGGGGTTTTGCGCACCTGATGTTAGATTGAGGGCCTGAGTAGCAGGGGGGATATCATTACTACAATGCTTCGACGGCCTTCATGAGCCCCTTCATATTTGTTTTGTGTGACCCAATAAATAAAGTTTGGAATCAGCCTGCCCGAACTTCTGGAAGTTAACTTTCATTGCCCGAATTCTTCGAAGTTCACATGTTTACGATAATACTTTCACTATTACTACTTCGTAGTATTGCTCAGACGATTTGCCGTTGTTGGGCCTGGTTAGGGGGCTTGGGGGGGACCGACGCCAATCAGACCCCAACAGTACGCATATTCATGAGCAAAGTCAGAACCACATGCTAAATGAATTAACCCTTCAGCCGGCAAAGGTACCAACATTGCTGCACAACGACTGGTACAGCTGTTTCCGTAGTACGGACATGAATTTTTGGCGTCCCTTCTTACCTGCAGATGGTGCTCTTCACCACCCTCGTGGCACTGAAGTTCAACTGCCTCAGCATGAGGGCCATGAATCTGGCCTTTGCCTGCGCGATGCTCCTGGTGTCCTGCCTTGCGCTCCCCGGCATGGTCGACAGCAACTCCATGACTCTTGGCTTGCTTGGGCCAGCTTTTGTTGTTTTCGATGGCTTTCGAGGACCTCTTAATCGCAGCGTATCCACAGAGTTCGGGCAGTGCTGAGACGTAGTGTATATGATTCCGGCAAGAAGTCTGCAGCTTCCTTCGCTGTTGACACACTCAGGGTTTGCGTCTCGCAGTTCATGTTTATGTTTCTCTTCCGCCTCACCTGCATCCCGATCTCTGGCTCGACGGCCCTTGTCTTCCTTGCCTTGGGCCTGAATCATTGGTGCCTGGTCCCTCGGCAAGTTTTACAGTACAGCAGGTTATTTCGGTGGAAGTTACGATAGCCTTCTTCTTGTTCTTGTGCCCAACCGCAAACTTGCCAGATCTGGTCGCTGGATATCTACCTTTCTGAAGTCAAGTGGTACAAAGCAGGCGCGTGGCTTTATTTGGGTGAGTTCCCCACCCTCTTGCTGTACGTTCTCCCAGTGGATGTGCGAATTTCCATGTCTAGCGCCGGCAGTCGTCGACGATGCAAACATCCCTAGGGTCGATTTTACTCGAGCTCCACATCATCTGGGCTCAAAAGCACAGGCAGGGCGACAGAGATGTACATGGCCCTCTTCTCCGGCGTCTGGCCCCTCTGTGGAAGCTGTCAGTCTGAAAGTCGCCATGGTCGTGCATATTGCCCAAAGCCTAAACTCGAGCACTAGCGGCACTAGCAGAGAAGCCTGCCACACGGAGAGTACGTCCACATGCGCGACCAAAACTTCGATGCCTAAAGAAACCGCACTGCAACAAGGACGAGGTGTCGTGTGGTTGCCATACGCTACATCTAAGTATCTCACTATCAATGCATCTGTCTGTAGTTGTCTACCTGTAGGTCCGTATTTTCGTATGTTATTCTTTGCTAAATGCTATGCCATGAATTGCTGTGCATGCTATGCTAGTATGTATATGTATGTATGTATGCACGTACGAATGATTGATTGAATGAATGGTTGGGTGAATGACTGAACTTACGTATTTTATGGCATGCATGCATTCATTCACATGCGCATGTACGCGTATGTACATGTACGGGTAGGTAGGTAGGTCGGTAGGTAGGTAGGTAGGTAGGTAGGTAGGTATGTAGCTACACACACGACAAATTACTGCCCCCATAATGGTTCACACATGATGGAGGCAGCATCTTGAGGAAGCCTTTAACTAAACGGAAATGAATGAGCAGCTTCGAGGACTACTGTAAGAGTTGAGTCAACGAGTAGCTGTCGGTCTTCGATTGTGTCAAAGGTTCGAAACAAAACCACCACATCAGCGATGCTAAACACATACTGTTCACATCTGGAAGCAAGTGACGAAGGCATCCCGGTCGATCGACTACGAAATTGCGGTAGATACGGTCAGTCTGTATACTGAACGGTTTGCCCAAGCAGCATGAGATTAGTTGCTCTTCAGTGTGTGGCAAGCGCCCAGGTACTTTGACATCGCGGCCGTGTTGGCATCCCGTCTGTTCTTATGAAGTTGCCGCACAAGGGATCCCCAGAGAGAGAGGGACCTGCATCTTAATCATTCTGAAGCTAAATGAAGAAACGAGGGCTCATGCTACTGGTGCTCCTGAAGCCTCCATTATAGGGTTCTCCCGCATGCACGGTCTGAAGCCCCGTTATCATCATCACAGAATAGGTGAAAGTTCTGCTGAAAGCATATCGCCACGGAACGGTGGTGACGATGCTCATTGCTTCAGATTATGCTGTGCTTCACTTCTACGCCCAGGATCGCTCATGATCCCACAATAAGAACATGATGCTAGGACTTTCGACTTATGGGCCTGGCCCAATATAGGGCTTTAATAATTAGAATAGGGTTTTGGGCTCGCTTATAGTATAACAGTATAACTATCATAGGGCTGGGAACCCTAAGAATTTTATAGTGGCAGATATTCGGGCTTCTGTATTATACCTGTAAACCAGAGTTATCGAGGCCTGTGTGCTGCTGCATGCCTGGCTTCAGCACCTGGGAGAGACTTGAGGTCTGTTCGCATTTTGTTGTGGCCTGCAGCTGCAAAGCTCAGACACTATATCAAACATGGGAAGGTTGGAAGTGGCAAGTAGTGATTAGTCTCGACCGTCTTTGGCAATTTAGATCCGGTGAAGTGAACTTGGTATCACTTCAGATTCTAGCGGTGCCGTTTGCGTTCAATTTCAATCCCAGGCGAATTGCGGGCCTAAGCCCAATGCCCTGTGACTCTTAGCCGTATATACATCAGCAGTAGGGATCATCCCACGATCCTGGACAGCAGAACTGTGGCAGTGCTGGAAGCCTCCGTACGAGTTGGAGTACTGTAGGAGATGACCAACCAGGATGTAGCTTTCAGGGTTAGGAAGCAACGAGTCTTTCCCCCAAAAAGGAATTTAGGAGTTGCTGGTGCAGGGTTTCGGGAGCTTGAGGTTCAAAGGGTTCTAGGATTTATGCGTAAAGCGGCTTACGGGTCCAGGGTTTGGGAGTTTCGGCTTTGGTCGACACCTCTACTTCGTTTACGGCTAAGGGCTGTGCTGCAGCATGTTATTGCCATGATTTTGCTACGAAATCCATATCTGGACTTGTAACGGTTATAACGCCTTGACCTACCACCTGATACCAAGATCTCTACTCTGCTCAAAATGTTGAAACTCGCTTAGTCCGAACACTGTGCGACACCCCGCGTCTTAGATTTAGACTCCAACATGATGAGCCCTCGCTCTCTTTTTGAGGCAAGCACTGCGTTCGCGTGTCTCCAGGATCATGGAGACTATGAGTCTGAATCTTCGGCGGAATCCTCTACGTAGTCCGGACTATTATCGGTGTGCTTGTTTAGAAATACACAGTGTAATATTGTATGAAGTCCAGGGTTTGTTTAGCAAATTGCTTTTAATTTGGGTCCAAGAGCTTACAGTTTTTCGAATGATTACTACAAGCGGTGTATTGGGTTGTAGGTCTCTGTGAATTTGGAGCTCAAACTTCTAGGGCCGAGAAGCTTCGCGTCTGGAGGGCAGGGTATAAAAATTTCGAGAGGGGGTCCTTCTCGAAGTGTCAACCTGCGCATACAAAACTCAATATTATTGCCGTTGGTGTCATTCTGCTATGAGCGTGGTGATATCTGTTACCATGATTCCAATCATTCGCAGTTTTGCTAGTCGCCATGACGAGGGCACTGGAGCTGCAGGCCAAAATCAGGTAGAGCAGTTGGTGATGGAATCGTTCGGCGACACAGGCTGCCTAGGGCAGCCTACGATGTCAGCCGGCGTGGTCGGGGTTGGGAGCTTGGGGTTTAGCGTTCGCGGGTTGACGGTTAGGCCACAACTTTTTAACCTGTAGGACAGAAAGGCTTTCAGGCTCAGCTTCCGGCTGCAAGCAATTTTGCTCCTGATGCCCTCGGTTGGATCGGCTCAACACCCTTGCAACGATTGTGAACCCCAAGGCACCATTCCTTCTGGTAGCGAACTTCCGGTCAAGCAAGTGCCTGGAATGGAACCCTGAAGCACTTATCCCCACTCCTAATCTATGTCGGAGACCAAGAGCTCTTCAACCCCCAACCTAAACCTGGACCCCCTACGCACAGCAACAATTCTCGCAGCTATGAGGAAGACCGAAGCGGTGGCTTCCGAGTCTCTGCTGGCGACGTTTTGCCACCTGCTTGAATTGACGATGGATAGCTGTTGGGGTTCTAGGCTTGAGATTTACGGTTTAGGTTTTTCTGGAGCCCCGATGCAAAAAGGGTGTGCATATACAGTACAGGAAATAGCCAATTTTTTGTGCGATGTTATGTCTAGAGTCTGGAAGTGCCGGCACACGGATTTTGAAACTTTGTTAGTTCGCCTGCCTGAAGAGAGACCTCTCCAAAGAACCCACCTAACTTCTTTAATTGAAAGTTCCATGGGGTATCTTGCGTGGTGGAGTTGAAGACGTCGACGATTATGCAAAAAGAAGACTTTGGCAACACACGGGTCAGTTGCCTCAAATAGTTGATGGTGGGGCTGGGTTATGTACATGGGTGTGGAGCCTTAGGCCCTTTGGGGAAGGGAAAGGCAGCAATGACACGCAGGCGACGCACACTGCTTTCTGGACTCGGATTTATGCTTCGAGCGTGACGAGCGCGCCATCGCATCGCCGCCTGTCATCTCTGACGGCTTAATATGGCATGTAGGCCATAACTTGGCTTAACTTTCGTATGGGTTGTGTAGATCTGAGGCTGGGCTCACACTCTCGTGAGCAGTCGCCGGGAAGGTTCAGGTGAGCAATTACAATGGGCTCTCGGAGTTTGTTACTCTCGGGAACCCTGAGAATGATATTCCTACTTTAGGCCAGAGTTTGTGCGCGAGCCTGGTTAGGTACTACGTACGCTGACCCCAGGATGATTTCCCCAGAGTCTAAACTCAGCATTGAACCTTATTGAAGTCCAGCACAAAGGTGAACATATGCATTCGGGCTACTCAGTAAAGTGCCACTGTCGTCATCTTGCACCGCGTCTGCAAACATGCGCTGACCCATAGCCTACATCGATTTATGCCCGTTCCTTTCGTGCTTTCAGTGTTTACATGCGGCTTTCTTCATCTGCCTTTCGAAATGGCCTTCTACCTGGGCCCACCTGATCTGTGTTTGTTTTCCTGTTCCCATCTACCCCTGTCCACCTGCCTGCCTGTTCGTTCACCTGTACACCCCTATGCATTTACCCACCTCGCTGCTTTCAACGTTCAACTTCGGTGTCCCGGTTTTTCTTCGGTGTCCCCCCTATCGTCGTTATCGCCGTCCCTGCAGTTGCAGTGACCTCGGTGGCAGCAACAACCAAAACAAAGAACACAAACTCACCGTAAACCCGAAATGGAAGAACGCGACTGCGCAGCTTCCCTGCAAGAGCTCCCTGTCGCGATTGAAAGGGTTCACAGTGAAGTGTCCATCTGAGGATGCTCTTACGAACTGGGAACAATGCCGGGATTAAGCCACCTGGAGCATGGTTAACATGGGGGCCCATGAACTATTCAATATTACCAATACTATTTTTGGTTTCCCTATGACAAGTATAGGATAGACTATACCAAAAGCTTACTTACCCTATTAAGGCTATTAAGGCCCCTATATCAGGCCGGTTAAGCCAAGAGTCTACAGCCATGGAGTTCTGGGTTCAGGGCCGGAGCCTTTGTCCGCAGGAACCGGCAAGCCCCAAAGCCTCGCTCGGTCTTTCAGCGATTACACTTCTGGAGGCGTTCAGGGTGCATCCTGTACAGCGCCAGCGATAAGTCTCAGCCAAAACATTCGCGAACAGAGACATCTCGGCTTGTTGATCAACTATGGGCCGAATCACAGCAGCAGTACTGTAGGTGGGTGCAATGGAAACCGTAGCTTAAAGGTGGTGGTGATTTACAGGCAGCGGCAGAAGCGCCAACACCGTCGGACCTCCTGAAGGGACGACTAATGGGGTGCTAAGCCGTCAGTCAGTACCTGCCTATCTATCGAAACGAGCCCCGGGGTTTTCGGGAAGATGTGTGCTAGGGCCGAGGATGGTTCCAACATGACCGTAAATCCCAAAAAAGCCAGGTGCGACTATAAGAGTCTATCAATCCTGACGAGGTTCTTGTCCTACATTAAGACGCCTGAAGATGAGCTTCGCTTCTTGAAGCTAACACGAAGAGGCGAGGAGAGTTAAGCCCGGCTCATGTAGTAGGGGGCCTTAATCCTTGTTAATAGTCAGGGTTCCTTGTAAGATTCTTACAGTCCCTGTATTTCTTCATTACCATATTCCCCCAAGCCCTTGTTACAATCATTAGGCCCCTGCCTTCTGCCAATTGTGATGCCCACCAAGCCCCTAGCTGTGCGACACAGTCCATTGCGAGCAATCCCACTGTTACCACGGCACTGGGCAGGGACAGTAGAGATTCGCATGATGGGGCAATCACGTAAGCAATGGACATATGTGTCACAATGCGCCAAACATAGTCATGGTGTCTGACCTCCTCTTGGACATGTGCTGAAGTAGCCAACTGTATGCTGCGTTGGTGCTCTTCTTGCTTCCTATGTCATATGTGCTGATCGCAGCCATTTCCTGTAAAGTCTTCTGTCAGTAGCAGCTTTCGGCTTCGCAACCATGGGATGCAACTCGTCATGTCAAGTTGATGCATGGGATATGCCACTGAATAACCCCGGCGATGGTGGGAGCACGTTTCATGCGAAGCACAAGCCTACCACACCGCGGGCATCAAAGGTGGCCATGCGAAATTCCTCGCTACCCCATCAAGTTGAGGGATGCGAGTCCGAAAACTGCGTTCCAGACTTCTTCCGGGTCTCTATTCCGGCAGACCTCCGCGAGGTGATCAAACCGGGGCCCATCCTCACGGAGTTCTCGGAGCCGACGGAAGTAGAGAGCTCCTGGGATATGCCAAGCATGGCGAAGCGTTGGAAGGACCTGCCCGCGAATCTGATGCTCCCACCAGATCGGGAAATGCACTCAGAGCACTTGAACAGACTAGAGAAAGCCCTCAGAGTAATCAAGAGGTCGCCGGACTTGCTAAGACAGGGAGTCGACCGGAAGAGGAGGGAGAGTTGGATGGCTCCGGTGGGAAGTCACGAGCTGTGGCAAGAGCAGCCGACGCCATGATGAAGACGTAAGGCAGATGTGTAGAGAGCCCTATGTGCAAACTCCAACATCCCTAGACAATACACATTTTTATTTCGGCCTGTCCCCTACTAGCAGCTTGCAGATGGAGTGCAACATTGTTGCGCTGAACCCGATGATATGCCTTGCTAAGCATTCCTAGCTCGGCCTGGTGTAATGTTGTTTCTGCAAACTGCGCATCACCGCTTCTGCGGTTCCCTCCAAGCCCAGGTATATAATGCGTACACAGCAATCGAACACATGTGTCGTCCCGGGCTTCTAGGGTATCTTGCAGGCGACTCAAGCCCGAGTTGTCTGCACAGTATAGCTGCAGAGAGCCGTGTATGGTAAAGAGGTGCCTAATCTTGTGTTGTCGTTGTGTTTTCAGCACCTTGTGGGGAAGACCTTTTTAACGCACACGCGACGAGTGCGCAAGTGTTTAGTACAGCGGTCGAGGCAGCAGCCTTTGCGACCTGGCGGAAACATCCGCCGTCATCTTCCGAATACATTTCTACCTTTCATTTCCTCACTTCCATGTGTTTTTCTGCTTTTTTGTTGGAGCAAAGTTGCGAGCTCATGTTCAGGCTGGTGCCCTTCTGTCAAGCATGTCAGTAGCACAGCAGCCTTCTGATGTGTCATGTATTTTAGCTAGTTCCCGCAGCAGCCCAGCATGAGTGATGCTTTGCAGGCCTTCACAGGCAAAATCCCCAAAGACATCAGAGTTCTCAAGCAGAGTGAAGACCAGCTTGTTGCACGCAGGGGTCGAGGGGGCAGGGTTGTAAAAGTCGAACCCCGATATTTTGTCCTACTTCCATCGTGACCTAAGTGGATGTAGACACGGCGGTAGAGTTGAGCAGAGGCCCCCATTCAGCCTGGCCTACACAGAAAGCTTTGAACACTTCTGTCGTTACAGTGCTGTCGGTGCAGGTTCGGGGAATTTCCTGTAGCTAGGCCTGACCAGGTGGTTCGTTCGGGCTCATAAGCATTATGAGGGTACAATACTGTACAACAAAGGTTGCGTTGGGCTTTCCATTCGGCGAAAGCTCAGCTTGTTCTGCAGTATGTCATGGCGCCTGTGCCGGCAGGCAGTCGGCAGGAGGAGGGTGCCATCGGGTTTCTAATCATACCTGCGCCATAGGCTTCTTGCAAAAGGAGCGAAAGCTTTCTGCATGTGATCGTTCAATTCTCAACCCCTGCTCTTATTTGCCATGCCAGTTGTCCGAAGACGGGTCTCCAGTGAACACCTTGCCTTGCAAAACCTTGAGTTGCAATGCAGGGGAAAATCGTACTTCCACCGCCGTGGCTCAGGCGATTAACCTAGGATTGACGCTTGGCAGCAAATACAGGCACATTATATTGATGATAGTGAGTTCGAGTTGAATTGAATGTAGACTTCAGCTATGATAAAGCCCATCGCTGTTAAGCCGATATTATATCCGGGAACATCTTCACGCATACATGCATGCATCTTCAGTCATTACTTGTACATACCCGAACATGTCATGATTGTTGACCCTGTTTCCTATGCCTGCATATGCGAAACTACTGGTGCGTGCAGCGTGCATGCCAGCATTCAAGCACACGGGCAAGTAGGAAAGCAAAGCCGCGTTGAAGTGACATATTCAGGAACGCACTGGATACAATGCAGAGGGATGTCCAGGAGTGTCATGGGATGTGTCTATGACGAACCTGTTTGTGTTTGTGCGTGTGGCAAGGTAAGGCGAGGAAAGGTACAGCAAGTGTGAAGGCATGTGACCGCGTGCAACCGCGCACGCGTGCGCACCGACATAAGTCCTGAAGATACAGGTTCACGCTACTATTACTTCTAGTAGTAGTATTCATGAGAATCACACTAGTCACTAGTTAATAATGAGAACCCGAGTGGCCTCGTTGGCTCGATACATACGTGAGGCAGCGCAGTACACGGTTCCGGAAAAAGTGAAGACAACACCGAAGTACAGGGTAGGGTCTAAGGCTTCGGGTAGCTATGGGGCTTCTATGAGGGTGGCTATCAGGTTTAGTCAATACAAGTTACCATATGTAAGGGATGGCGGGATTGGGTTTCCTAGCTAAGGAAGGACGGCTACAATGACCAGGCCGCCGCGGACGAAGGGTCGGGGATGGTGGGCTGTGATTGAAACTGGGCTTCCTGGTGGGATCTGGTAAATTTGGGGCTTCCGTGGGAGCGCTTGGGTCTTTTGTTCCAAGCAAGAGTCGGCGAAGTCGCAACTTCAGGTCCGAACCAGTCTCTATCACCTTTTTCCTGCCCAATGTGCTAACAAGACCACCTGGAGTTGCATTGTAGTTCCATAGGCATGAGCCGGTGATCTCAAATGTGTTCGTTTACATCCTCCTTGCCAAATTGTTGGAGCTGGGGCCTTGGGGCAGGCTCGTACCACTGTTCCAAATAGGGATCAGGCCTGAGGCTGAAGTTCGCGAGATATGGACGCCCTGATTGTCGAATGACATCAGCTTGGGTAAGCATGCGACTTCCATTGTGGCATCGTCCGCCTCCAGTTTGAGCTGTAGCAACAACCTTGGTGCAGTGAAGCAAGCTTGCGTCCCGATCGCCGACCCACACATGTCACATAACCTGTGTTCTTATTTCTGGCAGCATGTGGGAACCATCAGCAAGAACACTTTCGCTCCCCAGAGCCTCAACGCGACATCTGGGCATGCTTCTGAATTAGGGTTGCGCTAAAGCAGGCGCTGACCTAGACGTGAAGTAGGTCAGGCGGTTACAGTAAGGAACCGCATGGATGGCGAGGTGAATGTGGAGCTCTTCCACGTCCTGACGCAGGATCGCTTAGGTCGCAGTCGACATCTGATCGGCCTGCGAGAGTACAGCTGCCCGGACTGCAAGAGCTTAGACTCTGGGGTTTAGGGTTTTGGTTCGGCTGGGCCGTCTGTGGATAAGCTGTGCTTGGGCTGCCGTTCAGGGGTTCTTGGTTGCATTCATCCTGTGCGTTGCTGAAGAGTACTTGGGGCTTGGGAGCTACGGCCGTTTGGAGCAACTTGTTCGGCGTTCAAGTTGTCTGTGTTTGCTCTGCATGTCTTCAGCATTCGAGGAACAGGGCGGATGGGTTGATGGGGGATTTTGTTTCGGTAAGTTGACGGTTCGGAATAAGACCTATAGGGCCCTCGAGGGTCCACAATGCAGGCCATCGGGGGCGATTCTATCTGAGGATTGTGTTGGAAGTCCTCTTCGACGGTAGTAACTCTTACTTGGAACAGGCGCTTGCCTTCCCAAGCCTCACCTGGTGTGACGAGTCTAAGTGCCGAAACCGCGTGGCCTACAACGTGGAAACCGTGCTGAATTTGGAGCCTAGCCTTCGAGAGCCGTAAGATCTTATTCTTCTTCGATTTGCCGTCAACTTCGTTGTCGTTCTTGCCAATTTCCTTGCTATCACTGTCGGGCTCCATGTGCCTTGTTGTGCGCGTTAGTTACCGTTAGCTATTGACGTTCTCAATCCGGGCTCCCCCGAGTGTAGCCTCAGGCCAGGAAGCCAGGTCGGGTTCTCCTTGCCTTGCAGATGACGCACTGCAAGGAGGCGCGAAGGGGACCCTTTTTTCACTCTTGGAATTCGCAGCCTCTGCTACCCTGACCCGAAGGTTCTAGCGAATTTCCGGGTCAGTGTTGAAGGTTTGAGTTCAATTCGCTGATGAAGGCAGTGCCCACTGCACTCCTGAATCATGAACCCGTGCACTGTTTCCATGAATCAGGCGTCACAGCTACAGCAGCTATAGCAGCTGTTGATAGGCAATTACGAAGCTATGCTGCACTGTCTAGGACAAACCATGCAAAATACCCTCGCACTCGAAGCAGGCATGCGATCCGGCGAGGACCACAGCGACGAGAGTGTGGCCTGACTGTACCGTTTGCGCGGGTGTGCACCGTTGCTCTCGACAGTGCAAGCTATGTTTGTGCAGTTAGTCTCAGCCTCCTGCTGTGTTCATTTGCAGCTCATGCCTTTTTGGTCGCTGTGGCTTAACATTAGCATTCGCGACAAGTTGTTTATTGTTTGTCTCCCATGCTGTCAGAGTTGATTCCTGATGAACATGTTGCATGCTTGCCTCATGCATGAATTTTCTTCAGAACCCCACTCTAGTGGTTAAGGCCGCTATATTGCCCTAAACCCTAAACCGCGTAGAACACCTTATAGTAATGTAGAGCCCTCAAAGGAAAGCCTGACGCTAAACCGTATAGTGGCGGAAAGCCCTAAACCCCACATATAAACCCCTAAACCCTAAACCGTAAATCCTGTCCGAGTGCGAGTGCTGAAACTCTAAATCCTACATATTATAAACCCCTAAACCCTAAAGCCGCCCTCGCCTAGGCAAGTCCGAGTGTGAGTGCTGAAACCCTACACCCTAAACCAAACCCCTGAACCCCTGAGCCGCTTTGCCCAGGAATCCAGCTCGCAAACCGACAGCTCTGCGAGCGCAAGCTCAGAAGGCGAAGGCACTGTGGTTTTGGTGTTGGTTAAAGCGGGGTTTATAGGTTAGGGGTTTAGGGTTTAGGGTTGTGTTGTGGAGTTTCCCGGCTGGCTGCGAGAGTCCTGGTTGCAAAAGGTTTAGGGTTTGGGGTTTAGGGTGAGGCAGGCCGAGCTCCAACGAGCCTGCAGATGAAAGGGCTGAGGGTAGGGGGTGGCGGAGGGACGAGGGACAAATTTGCATAAGTTCTAAGAGTTTAGGGTTTCGGGCTTTGTTGAGGTTTGGGGTCTAAGTTTGTGTTTAGGGTGTTGAGCTTTGGGTGAGTTTTGGAAATTGAAGGGCGAACCCGAACTTCAAAACGCCGACCCCTTTAGGGCTCCTTGTTGATGTCCTTATATCGGCCGCTATGTTGTAAGGGTTCCGGGCTCCAGGGCTTAAGTTTTCTAAGTGGTGCGGACTTTAAGGATTAAGAGTTTGGCTTTTCGGAGGGTTTGGAGGTTTCAGGGTTAAGCGTGTGGGGCTTCGGGCTCAAGTACGAACTTCTTGTAATAATGTGGTCTCCTGATTAG